CCCATCCATGGATTACTTTCTAAAAAGGCCATTTATTTCTCTTTAGAATGACGTACAAATAAGCGTTCTTGCTCATTTTGCCTCCGAGAAATGAGCAAAAACGGGACGAAAAGCATGAAATTTTGGCATAATCTTGCACCTAAGTGTCTGATATTCAAATTTCGCTTTCTGGGTCAAAACTATTCGAATTTCCTCACTCACGTTGTTAGGACTGAATCGACTTTTCAATTCTCTATCCAACGATGCCAAAATGAATTCTGTGGCTCGAATGGTTCTTGAGAAACTTCGAAAAAAGCAGCGTTATGTTCAAGTGGATTTTGCAACTCAAAAAAAAACCACGCAAATCTAAAACTTCTTGAATTCAAGAATTTTTTGAAAAAACTGCCAACATTTCCTTATCGATGGTTCACTTTCTAAAAAGGCCATTTAGTTATCTTTGGAATGATGTAAAAACGAGCGTTCTTGCTCATTTAGCTTCCGAGAAACATGCAAAACGGGACGGAAAACATGAAATTTTGCAATAATCTTACGCCACCCTTGCACGAAACGACGATAATTTTTCTAATTTCATAGACAACTGAAGACTGTATTTTTTCTACATAACCCCCCCTGAATTTAAAGCTGGATCCGCCCCTGTCTTTAACATTTCCTAGAATGTTCCCATTTCGATCTTTGCTCTTGCAATTGACTTTTTTATGTTTTTATTGACCTAATCAAAGCAACATTCCTCTTCTCGCAGGTTACAACTTGCTGTTCCCAGTTTTTTCGTTTGGACCCCAGAAACTTACTTGAGGCTGTACTTACCTGCTAGATTATCCACGTTTTTCTTCTGCTGTTAGCCCCATTTTATCGGTTTGTCAGAAAGCTATTACGAAATTTGCCCGCAATTTCATTCAAACAACATCCAGGATTGCGGACTAAGATAACGACAAGGGAACACACAATGCGGGAAGATATTGATTAAAAAAATAGTGTGTAGGTTCAATGTGTGGTTCTTGGCGAGTGTACGGTTAAATCTACGCGGTTGTTAGACAAAGCCACACGGATACTTTCATACCTTTCGTCTTCTGGCTGGAGGCACAATGAAGTAGGTGGTAACGCAATGGTCCCTTAAGTATTGGTTGCGCGAGCCCCCATTTCCTGGTTCCACCTCGTATTCTCCTCCCAGGTAGTCTTGGGTGGCTTGAGTAATATGCACGCGTCTGGAAAAGGTGTGGGAGGCATAAATCCCCAAGCCCAGAAGACTGAGGAAGTCGATGCTCACCCTGGCTCTCCTCCAGCCTCCATGTTATTGGCCAAGGTGACATCGTTTGACCACACGTCGTACTGCCACTTACGGAGCCCGAGGACGCCGCAAAGAACACGCCCAGAATGGATTCCGACCCGCATGTTCAACTGGACATCAGTGGCCTCCACTACACTAGCAATGGCGTCGATCATGTCCAGCCCCATTTCCACAGTGCAGTGTGCATGATCTGAGCGAGGCTCCGGCAGTCCCGAAACACAGTAGTAGCAGTCTCCTAAGATCTTGATCCGAAGACAATGATTATCCTGGAAGGAACCAGAACGATCACTTGGAAGGCCTTGCCAAAGCGTCTGGATATGCTGCAAGTTTAACGGGGCGCAACAGGAAATATTCAGTGTGTTTTCCTTAAAAGCGCGGAGCATTTTCATGCAAAGGATGACAATTCAGGGCTGCATAAATACGACGGGGAATCCAGCAGTTGAACCAGTCTGAGTCGGAAAGCACTGGAGATCACTTCGTCCACTGCCTCATCGCCTTTGATAATGTCCACCGCAGTTGTGGACAAAACGTCAGGAAGAAATTCCTATAGTCCACGGCTTCAAAGCCCGGAAAACATTCCTAAATGTTATTTAACCGGCCGTGAAAGCCTTCATAGTCTGATAAAACGCCTCTACGGGGAGGATACATCGAGACTGATTCGACAACTGGAAAACCTGCGTAAGAAGAAGGCGCAGCTCCTGTGTTCACTGGCTTTCTTGCTACGATGCCGTGAAACGAAGATCATTCCAACCTTCTTGAAGATGAAGAGATACTTCAGAACCAACCAGGCCAAGAATATCTACAACCGGGCGGAACGAGCTCTTTTACGGGAACGGATACATGAAACCCGTCGAGATCTTGCACATATTCACAGTAGACTCTTACCTGTCAATATAGAACTAGCCAACAAAATGTACTGGATTCATTGGGAAAAAGTGGATAGATTAACAGCTGACCGAATGATGGTGGCCAAAGCAGTAGCAACTAATCGCCTAAAGAAGAAGTTTGATGCGCTGATGGAAAAGCTTCAACGA